ACCTCCAAATGGCGTTTTACCGTTTTAATACACGATTAACTATGGAACTGGAGGAGGATCATAAATAGGACAGCAGGTAAACAGTATATAAGCACAAATGATTTAAGAGTTGCTTTGTGGGGAAAGAAAGGGCTATGCTATTTACCAAAAACTGAAATTGTGAAGCATGTACATGAAGTTAAGAACGTTTATTTCTAAACATGAAGCGAGACTAAGAGAAAAGAACTGGAGAAGACTTGTGAGGGTCTTGATGTATATGCAAGGGTCAGTGATTCCAAGTTCTAACACCACTGGATCACTTCCCATTCTTCAGAACCTGAAATAAAGCCCAAACATGCCTCTGAACCAAAGGTGGGTGCTTCAAATACTTCAAAACAGCTTGGGGCCATCGCAAGAAAGCACTGACAGTAATCCAAGCATTGTGACAGTCTTTCACAGAACTGTCACCCCCACACACAGAAACTAGAGATGACTCTTCCTCCCTTACAGTTTCTTTTACTGGATTTTACCATAAGAAATGAGATCATCATTCCTAGTACAATTACTGCAGACGAGTGACAACAGCGTGTGGCCAAGCCAGTTTATTAGGTTTCTGGGATTGTGCCTTGCCCTCCCCCCCAGCACACACAAATAACCCAACTTTACAATGTGGTAAAGTGAAAATACATATACGAAGTATTCGGTACACAGGACGTGGCCACCGAATGCCTGGGAGCACACCAAACCCCACACTAACAACCGCATACCTCAATGGCAGAACCATTAAAACATGCTTTGTGCCACAGACAAAATTGCATACTTGAATGTTTCCACACAGTTTTAATGACATGAAGGCCCTTATTTACAGGTTGTGAATAACTCCAATAAAGCTTAACAGATGTACCGATGTTTCACATCAAATTTAACAGTAACACTGTAGCTACATGATTTCCTTACCTCAGCTCCCAACCTGACTTGGAACTGTTCATTCTAATTACAAAAAAAACCCAAAACAAACAAACAAACCCCCACAACACCACAAAAACCAAACCAAAACACAAAAACATTTGCTGAGATACAAACAGTTAAGATGAAGCCTTTTGAAAGAAGGGGTTAAGGACATGAGTGAAAAACAAATTGCCCAAGAGGACTGTAAACCATATTTATTTACAACAGTATACACATAAATTTAACGATCCATCCTTTTCTTAAAAAAGCATTAAGGACACTAGTGTTAAAAAGCTGATTCTTTCTGAAAGGACTGTAAACTGAATTCTAGTCAGGTAAGGTTCAGAGTGAATACAAAATTTCCCTTTTAGAAATGTTTCCTAAACTAAATTAATGTCTCAGTTGTAGCAGCTTTGTACAGGAAAAAAGTATACCTTTCGCTGAGATTCTTTTTGAATATCTTAATCACATCAGACCAAGTGGAATGCTTTTTCTAAACCTAGAAAAAACAGTCAATGCATTTTTCTTCTGTCAGTATAACTCACAGTAGAATCACATCTTATTAATTGCAATAGTTTACATAATATTCGTTATCTTGTTTCAATAATTTGTTTGTAATGTGATCACTAGGGTGGCAGATCCTGAAGTGGCCCTTCCCTTCAGTTTCCAGCCAGCATCCCACACTACACACTGCAAATCAAAAATCTTCATTTTTACTTCAAATTCCTTTAAAAACGAAGTGACAAAACACTGCTTGACACAGCACGAGTGAAGTCACAGACTGCATTCTATGGCTTAACGTTTCGCTTCATGTAATGACCTGTAACCTAGCACCATTTTTATTACGACACTTGACCTTCGGACAGAAGTGAAATAAAACGGTTGCAGTTACGAAAACACGGAATGTGGTTCTACGGGAGTAGCTTCCCTCACCTGACCCAACGCATTACCAACTCACGTTAGTAACGCCAAGGATGCGGCATTATACATACGGATGTACATCATACAGATGATGTATTTGGCAGATTTTCTCCACGTTTCAAGATCTAATTTATTTTGTATTCAAAAGTATTTTAAGGAAGTCCCATATTCCTAATATTTTGTCCTAAGCATTTCCATCCCTAAAATACATGTTACCAAGTTTGTTGTAAAAGCTTTTTCAAGGTGTCATCACTAAAATCCACTGCAAACCAGTATGCTTTTGCCAACATCACCCAACCTCTTCTTTACCGAAGTGTTTTACTTACCCTGGAACCTCAGCTCAAATACTGCATCTTCAGAACTAAGTGCTCATTGAAGTTTCAGTATGGTCAGAGAAGTTATGGACAGTTATAGTCCCAAATTTACCCCAAATTCTGTGCTACAGTTCTTTCAATAAGAACGAATGCATAGTTTAGTTCTACATGCTAATTATGGAAAATTAATGAAGTTTTAAGTATCCATTAATTGCCTAGAGGCAGGGACAAGTCTGTCAATTCTCTTACCATTGCCATGAAGAAACAGTTTACAGTGGAATGACAGGCCAAAAGCTAGCAGTTTGAACGTACACTGACAGCCCAAACATTATCTGACACTCTTGGGTTTTGTTTTTAAAATAAAAAGGTATTTGCTTAGCAATTTGCTGGCAGTCACCAAATATTCCTTCATATGCCACAAAACTCCCCCAAAATCAAGCTATCTGGCTGTCACAGAACACTTTCTCCTACATTACCCCAATGCAAGTAGCAACCAAAAATGTTAGTAAATTGGCTTACTATTTATAACCTTACCACAAGTGATGAAAACAATCGCAGGCAGCAAGAGCTCAAGTAGAACTGCTTTGTCAAAACTTCACTTGAAGGCTTACCTTCCCGTACATTTATAGTGAAACTTCAGTAATTCAGGAAGTACAATTACAAAGTGCAAGAACGTGACATGGGCACACCTACACCAGAAAAGAAAACAACCAAGCAAAACAAAATCCACGTTAAAGTGCCAAAGAGATTCACTATAATTGCTACCAAAACCTGGAACTTTGCCAAGATCATAATTCTCAAGCATTTGCAAACAAGGCAAGGTGATAGCTGACAACAGTATGATTTAACACCAGCAGGTCATGGCAGGTTTTGGTTCAGGCTTTATATGTATTTCATCGCGATCTGGGGGTTGACTAAGCATTAATGGCTTGTGACTTTTAAGCTTGTGAGCCAGTGTCATAAATATGGCCTCCACGTGGTCATTGTCATTGGGGTTTTTGGCAGAGGTTTCAAATAACGGCATACTGTGAGTATCAGCGAACTTCTGGGCCAAGTCCGTAGGTACCTGAATAGCACTTCTCAGGTCACATTTATTTCCAACAAGAATCCGTGGTATATCGTTGGCAAGAAGGTGTTGTTTGCATTCCTCTATCCAGGAGGGCAGACTGTGAAAACTGGTAATGTTTGTCATGTCATACACAAACACAACAGCGTGTACATTCCTGTAATAGTGCTGCACCATGCTCTTTCTGACCCGCTCCTGGCCTGCCGTGTCCCAGAGCTGGATCTGAAAAGGGAAAGACAATGAGAGAAAAAAGTGTTTTATTGCTCCTGTTGGAAAATAATCCACATCCCTTGTAACTAGGGGAGTCACACGATCACAAAGATCCACTCTTCTAAATTAATCATACTAAATAGCTTGTGCTGTAGAAATTTTCACTTTTAAAGCTGCTCACAACTGAAACCAGGAAGAAATGATTATGTAACAATCACACATACGAATTTCTGAAAGTTTAAAGGGGCGGGTATTTCGTAAGATGTTTACAAAAACAAATCCTGAAGTCTTGGCAATAGCACTTTTATTTGAGAAAACAATGTGTATTTCCCAGATAAAACAGTGTGTATTTCACAGCACAACTCTCGGTTGACGTGAATTTTTCATTGCCAAAACAAAGTCATCTTCCCCAAAGTTTTGTCCTTAGCATGATGTTAGCTGCCTGCTATGGTACCATATCACAGTAGGAAGAAATCAAATCATGCACCAACAACAAAAACAGGACAAAGAAATCTTTCTCTGCGGGGCATCTACTGGAATCAAACCCTCCTGTGATGAACCTTTAACTTAAGCTTATTTAACTCAAACTAGGACCATACTGTTTCTAGTATCAAAGCACACATAAAAGGACAAGGAAAAAAAACCACAACCACATCTCCTGTTAGCATGATACTACTGTTTCCAGGTACACACCTTTCTATCCCAAATAGGCTGAGCACAGCTGTTTGATGCCTTGTCAGTGTAACAGACAAAAAAACCCACTCGGAACTGAAATACTTTCAGACTTCTCAGGTCCAGATTAAACCAAACCAAAACAAGCCTTGAAGCACCAGCAAATGTAAGCAATAACTAATAAAAATCTTAAATGCATCAGTCACCCTGGTATAAAGGAAGCTTGGAGTCCTCAGGCGCAGAATACGCTACAGAACCATGCACGTAGTGGACACAGTGATATTTCAAGGCACTCGCTCTCCAGGAGACAGGGGACTGGGATACACAGCAGTCAGAGCCAGGTCACCTGCAGCACTAGATGCACTGTACGCTGCAACAAATAAACTAGCGCATGGCTCTATCACACCCTCGGTGACGGTGTTAACGCTGAAAGACAACGTTCAGTTTCTCGGGTCAAAGCCAAGTTCCGGATTCCTGTCTGTCCTGCATAGCTGATCCCTGACGGCTGAGGCAGTTGGACTCTTGAGCTGGAAATGTCAGAGAGTAATGTTTTCTCCCTGGGACTGAAAAGGAAGTTCTTCTTCAGACTCAGAATTCAAGGAACATTAAATGTTCCATAAAGGATGAAGGTAAATTTAAAATTCAACCCATTCCCATGACAGGCACAGCCTTCCCATGATGGAATTGTTCTCCCATTACCAGAGTTCCACATTCTTTTAATCCAAATGTTTCAAGCAAAACTTACTTAGAAGTTGCAAGTGCTTTGAAACTTGCCTTGTTTACCATTTTTACCAGTGATTTTCATATTAAAAAAAGAAGGAAACCCAAGAGCCAGGGAAATTTGCTGATGGCAAGAAACTAAGATGCATCACTGACAGAGAGAGGAAGATTACAGTGTCACATACTTCTATTTTTTTTTTTGAAAGCTGGAAGAGTAGGAATAGGGTGAAACTGAACAGAAGCAGATGCAAAGTCTTGTTAAGTGTTTAATAACAAAGACTTTTCCTTTAAGTGCTGGATTAATCAGTTCAGAAATTATTAAAACAAATGATGATCCAGATACACGAGTCAATCACAGGACGTTATGAATCACTGGTGTGATAGAGGGAAGGGAAAAGAGTAATTGATGTTTCAGGATGGTGTGACTTTTTCTGCAATATGAGGTTCAACTCTGGTCACCCATCCTCAAGAAAACCTCAGACTGGGACAGGTACAAATGGCAGTTACTGGTTTCATCAGGGGAACTAAGAATTTACATGAGAACATCAGAAGAGCTTGGCTTCTGTAGTCCAGCCCAGTTATCTGCAGCTTCGGATCCACAGACTTGTAAAGATCCACGTGCTGCTTTTAAAAGGATTATTATTAATAAAAACAAGGCGAGTTACCCCAGCCTCTGATCACAGGAAACAGTAGTCAATTGCAATCCATCCAACTTTAGAGCAAATACTCCCTTTTTGCCAATGGTATTACACTCTAAACACAACTGACTGCATCTCCATGGTCTGCTATGGGAGTCTAGACAATCAGGTTAAATATAGGCACCTAAATCTGGGCAAGACTCACTCACCAACCCAGATAAGAGGATACTTCTATGCACTTGTAAAACATTATGAAACCAGGAGACTTGTGGAAAATTTTCATTAATTTAGAATGTGACATATTAAAGAGAGAAAAAGAACAGAATGAAGTAATCCCTATGTTCAGACAACAGAGTTAAGGAATCGCTACAGGTAATCTTGGAAAATGCTACATCAAATTAATCTAAAGAGGGAGCTCATTTTCACAGGCAGCTGTGGGCTTATACATCTCTCCCCACCTCACTCACAGAGCAGAAATCAGTCATGCTTCAGTCAAGCACGGATCCACAAGTGTATTTTCAGCCTTGGGTAAAGGAGGGGAAATTAAAGGTTTCCACATCTTCCAAGTTAACCTTAAGCTACAGTTCCTCCTAGATTTTATTTACATGCAGCTTTCAAGCTTGAAGCTTATTATCTCAAATTAAAAATGATAATATTCTTGGCATAGGATCATTTGCACTGAGAGGGAAATCCTTTCCCAAGATTGAAAATTTCACACTTCAGAAATTTCTTTTCTCCGCTTACTAGGTGAACTTGAGGAGACCATTCCATTTCTGGCCCCCCCAGAATAGCTGCTCTACTGAAAAACAACACTGAAAATGTTCACATTAATAGATACACACGGATGAATTAACATTAAGATCGCTGCTTCATTATTAGTTCAGTATCATCCAACTTCAAAGGAGCACATTTTTTAATATTAGCCCTTTAAAACATGTGATTTGAAAATTTGGTTTAACAGCATAATTCTGCTAATAAAACTGTGGACAGAATCACTTTGACACACTCCCTAGGAAAGACAAACGGTACCTAAATATATTTAACTCAGCTACCACCTCCCACCTTTGGACTCCTTTTTGTGGCTCCAGAAAGGCCGTTTTCTGAACAAGGACTCCCTTAGCATGCATGGTTTTTAACACCCTGGTAAAAACATAACTGGCCTTTAGTAAAGATAAAATGGTAAACTATGTCTCCTTTTACAAGATGTGGGGAAAAAAACCCAACAAACCACCTTGAAGAGCTCAAAGGTATAGAACATGATGTTTGGACTTTCTTCTGTGAATTTGATTTGCATCCTTTGCTCCTTTAATGTAGGTCAGCGAAGGGTGACATCATTGTTTTCTTCGATTTTCAATGCTTAGATCAATTTAGGAAGAGGAAAATTTAGAATGCAAAGAATTCATTCATCGAAAATTTTTATGTATTCATCACATCTAGGCATCCTTTTTTCATACAAAGCTGTTATCCTACTGAACAAGCTACAAAGGAATACACTAATCCCTGTGCCTTGGAATTCTACACAATTCCTGTGTGGGAGACCCCTGGCGAGAAGAACTGTGCTTGTGTTCCTGCCAATGACACAGCACTTTTCCAGCTGCAAGGGAAACGCTCGGTACTGTAGAGCACAAGAATGACCATCCAGCTGGCTGGGGGAAGGGAGAAGAGAGAAAGAGAAGACACTACTTTATAATCCCCTCCACCACAAGAGAAAAATTTCTCTCCCAGAAAGTCCTTCAGGGCACAGCAAGAACAGCAGTAATTTGGTTCATGTGAGCTTCTCTTTCCCAATTCCACAGGCATTGGTGGAGCTCACTGCTGCAAGCAAGAAAGGTGAAGATGAGTGAGAGGAGGTGGCAAAAAAACCCACAAAATTGGTGCACACCTGATGACACACAGCATCACCCTAAGAGCTACAGTCCTGGCCACAATAACAAAGTTTATTCCTTTTAAAGCTGAAACCGCACTTCCCAAAAAACAATGCATGTCAAAAGAGCCTCCTTCAGATCTCCACCTCCCCCAACCAGAACTGGAACATGCAACAGGTAATATTCTCAAGAGCACAGCAAAACAACCTACCACAACATATGTCGCAAAACGGCACGATAACCCGCACGAAGCATCTCAGAACTAGGGATCAGGCTATATTATTCTTCACTTCTCCCCAAAAAAGGCCAGGCATAATCCAGAGGTGGTGAAAAGGCCAGTCAATAAGATGGTGCTGACAAGAAGATATCCCTCCGGAAGTTCTCTCCTCTGCCACGGGCAGCAACAGACCAGGGAGCACAGGAGCTCAGCTTTCACCCAATGAAGTGCTATTCAGTGGTTTTATAAAGAAAAAGAGTAAGAACAACTCTTACTCTTTTTCTTTTGTAGTTAAAAAGGGTACAAGATGAAGAAAAAAGCAGATGGACTCATATGCCCTCCACAATTTCTTTCTTCAGTACAGAAGCAAGGAAAAACTACAGCTTTCAGCTACTTGGCTGTAAGCTGTAATTACAAAGTCTGGTGATAACAAACACCAACGTACAATTCCAAGACCGCTGTTATTCCCTTTTACTACACATTGTTAAACTTTGCTCATAGAAACAAACTATAGTACAGAAGGAGAAGGGGAGTCTGTTTAAAACCATGTTACTCCTAATAAAAAAACTGCATTTGTAAGCAGCTACTAGTCTAATCTGCCAATGACTGTCAGGATCACATTAGGTATCTACCGAGTAGACTAGGTGCATTTCATATGCTTTTAAAATTTGCTTTGCAGCGCAAAGGCGGCAGAAGAGCATTATTTCTCCCATCAAATTTTTGACTGAATTTAGTTCTGGAAGACTAAGCTTTAGCTAAACCTATAATCACAGTAAAAAACAAGTGTCAAATGCGAGCTAGGTATCCAACCTGCCGCTGTCCAGTTCTGTACCACAGTTGCCTAAACATGCGGCAATCTTAACAGGAGCCTAAAAAAGAACTGCAAGATGTAACACACTG